AAATGAGGAAAACAAGTCCCAGAGTGGTTCTTGCCTGTCCCAAGATTGGATTAGCTAGTAAGTGACTGAGCCAAGCTGTCTTGCTCCAACTTCTGTCCTCTTAAATGCTTTGCTCTTCAGCTTCTCTTCAGAAAAATTTTCAAGGAATTGTGGCCATTAAGGTTTAGCTTCAGATCTGGAAAAGAGGGGACCCAGGTGAAGAAACTAAGAACCCTAAATGTTCATATGAAGAGCCCACCCCCTCCTCTCTTCAGCTCACTCACCACTTTGCACTCACCTGCTACCTGTAGCAGTGTACTGTTTTCTTTCAATGGTGTCATTCCCACTTTTCCATTCTCAAGATATGGTGCTAGAGAAGAGAGAGGTGTTATCTCTGCTCTTCTACTTATAGACCTTGCTTGGTCCCTTCTCCCTGTCCCCCCATCCTCCCTCCCTTCTCCCTAAAAAAATCTTACCTAAAAGCTTGATTTCTGACTAGTGTTTTCACTCTTTGATTATCTTCCATATTTTCTTGTAGCAATAATTTGCCAATGCCCATGTCATTCTCCTTTCCCTGAGTATACATGCACCCTAGCACCTCCTATCTTGATGAAATCAGTATCAACATATGGAGTGAGATTTTTCTCACTCCTACTACTACTGAACCTAACTGGCCTAGCTGGGTGCAATAGGAGATGCAGAAAGGACAAACAATAGAAGGCAAAGCTGGGGTCAGGTGTGTTGGGCACTTGGATGGAGATGCACAACAGCCTCGTTGCTTCTTTTCTCTATTATTCTTTTCTTCATCCTTTAAGGCCTTAATTCTTTACAATTCTTTAAAACCTTGCTTCTAAAGTCTTTTCTATTCTTTAAAGTCTCTTGCTTTAGACTCTCTTTGTCCCATGTTTTCTCTTTAACTTTCTTAAAGTCTCAGTGCTCAGACTTGCACTGTCCCATGTTCTCTTTAGCTTTTCTAAAGCTTATGTATAAAGTTCTCAGTGCAGAAAGCTGCTCTCGTGGAGACATATCAGCCAGCGTCAGGGTCAGCATCAGCCAATCAAAATTTCCCATCAAAAAACCCTGTGTCCTCCTTCAGGGAGTCTTTTATATCCAGTGGTAAACAAGGAGGTGGAGCAACAGTTCTCGGGGAGGGGCGTGACATTGTAAGAAGAGAAATCTGTGTTCCTACTTCTCTGAACAAGTGAACACCTTAGAAAAAGCAGCTGTGCTGTCTTCTATGACTGCGGCTGTGCCAAACTCAGCCTGTAGATCATTGAGCACAACTGTGCTTGTGTCAGATGCTCGTAGGCTTCTCATAATCTGCTCCCCACAAACAAAAGTGATTCTTCCTCAAACTTAGCCTCTCATATCCTTTGCTTGCTTTACCACTGGTCTTGGATTCCACCTTACATCACTCTCTTAATTCTTCTGCCATATCCTAGACCTTCTCATTGTTACTATCTGTGAACAGATTACAGATAGCATTATCAATAGTTATTTCAGATGCTTCACTCACTATTATCTCCTGTCTTTCTGTTTCATTCCTTCTCATGCCCAAACTTAGCAGGATCTTACAAAGTCCACTAATTATGCACAGTTTTCATTGTCTTTCCACTTTATTGCTCATTTTTCTCCTTATTTGCCTTCTGTCCATGGCACACTGTGACAATCACTTTCTTGGATACACTATTAACTCCTTCACCCCTCTTTTCCTTTGTTTTACTTTCCATATAAAGCTCTGCCCTGTTGAAATTCAGATCTTTACCTATTCTGTGACAGGATCAGCAAAGGCTACAGAGTACTTGCCCACTGTGGCCAGTGTCACTGAACTCATGACCACTCCGTTTCAGGGACACACTGGTCTGCCCAGTGAAGCTGAGCCTTTGCCTGGTCCATGCACACATTCACTAACCTCAATGATGACTTTGTGTTTTTTCTTTCCTTTCTAAATCTCCAACCCTTCTCCCTGATCTTATTCTGAAATGGTGAGCTTCTTTCTGTTTCCCAGAGAAAACCAGGTGCACCTTTGGGTACCTGGCTCTTCTGTGCCCAAGTCCTCTGCATACTCCTGCCCAAGACAATCTTCCACTCTCCCCTAAATCCTCTCACTTACTTGAGGTGATCACTTCCCTGTGTTCCCTGCACTGTTCCCACTGCTAGATTTTTCCCATTTGCATAATTGTGCTGCAGAATTCTCTAAAATCCAGGAGCCTCCCTGACTCCCAGCTGTTACTGCTGTCTTTCATTGTTTTACAATCAAACTCCTCCCAGGACTCATCTTGTGTTCACTGTCCTTTGTTTTTCTGCAATCTTTTCAAAAGAGAATTTATTCCCACTACTACTAAAACCACCTGTGTCATTGTCACTAGATGACCTCTTGTTGGTGTCACCTACTGTCATTCAAGTGACATGAACCCCACCATCTGAAATTCCAACATCAAGTCTCAGCCACCATCTTACTTGTGCTAGCATAGAAATATGAGATCCCCTCTCATTTCTTTATTTAGATCTTTTCCTCACCATCTTTAACTGTAATTGTCAAAGTCATGATGCACTGAGGACCAAAATGATGTCCATAGAAAATCCTGATCTGAACACTAAAGATAGTTTATTTAACCTATTCAGGGGCAATACTGGGACATTATGATGTGGAAATACCAATGTATTTGATAACAAGTTTCTCCTGAGAGTGTGCTGTGAGATAAGGTTCATGCAATAAGTACTCTAGGAAAACAGTTGTGGATCTGGAATGTAAATCAAAGTTTACATTGGGCAGATGTGCTTTTTTCTAAAGATGACTTGATCATATGTAAGTCTTTAAAAAGTAAGCACATAATGGTTTATGGGAATAAGAATAGGTAGAGACTTGAGAACTGGATGGATAACAAAATAACAGGCTACCTTACATTCTCCACCCAGCAGAATAAGTCAACCTAGGTATGGCATTCCTTAACCTCCAAACTAGCAAAAGAAGGTGGCTCAGGTGTTTCATTTCTTCGTATAATTGAACAGGATCTCCTCCAACCACACCAGAAGAACCCAGAGACACACAAGTGCAGGAGGGGAAGGGTTGGTCAGGAACCCTATTAACAATAGTCATGGGAAGTATTCCTCCTTCCTTACCAGATTTGAGACTCCCACTCCCCACTGAAGATACCAGGGATCTGAGGGGGAACAGCAAGAAGGGATTTGCTTCAAAAACAGCCTGTGTAGAAGTCTCTTTCTCCACATGGGCCTGATATTCCCCACTTCCTTTCCCCAAAAGACACCAGGCAGCTCGGTCCATTTTCCTGAACAAAAAGGCATCAGTAAGACATATCCCTTTACAACAAAACTTGGCATGAAAAACATTTTGTTTATCCACTCCAACACTTTCTCATCCATCTAGAGGTGACACCAGATGATCAACCTGGAATGCTCCTTGTGTCCCATCACACAATACTGGCAGGGACCAGTGGGAGCCCCAGCAACAACAGATAAATGAAGCTGACCAAAATGGTATTGCAAGAATACTGACAATTGAATTGTCATTGGACCCACAGGCTACACACATAGGTCAAGAATTGCAGGTGGCTGCCTTCTAAGATTTGCATAAGATCCAGAAACTCCTAAAATAATAGCCAAATTGTGCTGGATACAGTTTTTAAAGCACCATTTGTTAAACAGTGGCAGGTACAAAGCTGAATTCTGTTTTCCTCTGTTCAGTTATTTTAGCTACAGTTAGGATTCTAGGAGTTTCCCATAGTTTAGAAAACCACATGAGGTTTGGATGGCATTTGTAGGCAGAATTTGAAATGTCCCTACCACGAATTTCTCCTTACTGAGATTTCCCCTCACTTTCCAACTTATGTGGAAATCTCCAGTTCTGCTCTGTGATTCTTCAATAATTCACAATGCATATTTCTATCTAAATTTTAGTCAACTCATGTGACACTGTGGGGTCTGCCCACAGTCTCAAAATTGTAAAAATGTGAAGCCCACTCAATGTTGTTCCCTCTAGCACATACTTATCTCCCTAATTTCTGCTTGGATTTAGTCACTTTTCAGATTTATCATTATTATCTTTGGGAGAAATTATCTTTTTCCAGGTACTGTGTTATAGTTAGAAATGGAATTCACTGCATAAAATTTAAACTTCTTTATGAGCTAAGATTTCCATAAACAAAGTTAAAAGGGAAATATTAAATTGGAAAGAATATATTTACAATGCCTCTGACAGACAGTTAATTTTTAGCTCTTTCAAGAAACTACATTTCTGGAATTCTTCAGACTTTCTTAAACAAAGGAAAGATGGAAGACTGGACTCCAGCAGATATTCCTTTAAAGAAGAATTGAAGGAAGTTCTTCAAATAGAAATGAAATAATAAAGGAGAGAATCTTGGAACATAAAAAAGGAAGGAAGAAAAACTACCGAAATGAGTTTATGCAATGTATTATCCTCATGAGTTTCAAAAATTATATTTGATTATTGAAGCAATTAAGATATAATGCCACCTGATATTCAAAGTAATAATATCTAAAAGTAGAGAAGGCAAAGGGACTAAAGACGTATAATTATTACTAATATTACTACATACCATAAGGTGTTCACTCTAAGTGGTAAGTGTTGATATTTGTACAGAGCATATTGACTGTGATACCTCATGAATGTATATTGTAACACAAAGAAGAAAACTATACAAAGAAGAAAACTGCTCAAAACACTGTATTGCAAGACAATTCAATGGGGAAGAGGATACTCCCTTCAACAAATGGTTCTGGACAACTGAATGCACAAATACAAAAAAAGTTGTTATCTTAATGAAATATGTCCCTGGATACTCAGGTGTTTTGCTCTACATAGGTATGTTTTGTATATCAGGGATGTTCTAGCTCCTCTTTAAGGCACCAAAGGATGTTTAAGAAAGACTGTATTTTCATTATCTTTGGGGATACAGCTGCATATCAAAATAACCAATGAAAATTTGTTTGTGTATCTTCTTTACTCACCATAGCTAATTAACATTTAAATATTTCTTCAGCTTAAAGATGGAGCCCAAAACTAAAGGATTAAAACAGCAGCAGCAGCAACATAAGAAACTTTTGGCAGCGATGCTTTCTCAGGATTCCTTTGAGTCCATCCACAGCCCGACACCATCTGTAACAGAAGAAGATATTGATAACGAAGATGATGCAATGGAATTGCTGGGTAATTTTAAAAATTAATAATTTCTCTTTTTCTTATCTGACATTGTAAAAGTGTCCATTGATTAAGACATTTTAAATTTTTTGAATAGTTTTCTCTTGGGAAAAAGAAACCACTTAACATAACTCTTTCTTTTTACATTAGACTTTGATGGAGTTGCATGAAAGAACTAAGTTGAAAAAACCCACGCATGTGAAATATTTGACTGTATTTTGTGCTTTGTGTATGCAACGCTATCTTCTGACAACTTAAGTATTATTCTATGTGCAATTGTGATAAAAATTCAAATTTGTCTGCTTTATTCTCTGACTATAATTGCCTTGATCACACCTATTGTCTATAAAATGTATTCAAAATTCTTATTTCAGTCCTCATCTCAAGATGTCCTTCTGTTATTTTAAGGATGTTTTAGAGGCAGATAGTAAATTAATGTTTTAATTCTTCCATAAATGACAGGAAAGTTTGCAAAGATTTCAAAGTCTTTACAAGTTTTTTATTTTCATGAAAACTTTGCTAATGTTGCATATGTAGGGTATTGTTTTTTAATATTTCTAAGTTATTCTTATTTATTAGTGAAGCAGTTGTGTTTTGCTCCAACAAAAATCTCTTCATATATTTTTTTAATTGAACTTCACTTTGAAAAATCATTTTTCCAAAAGAAGGAAATGAAATTTTATTTCAATGAGAGTGATCCACACACAAAACAATGTGTTTTTAATTCAGTGACATTAATTATTCTACTATAAATAATTTAAACAATTTCTGAATACTTTTGTGACTGTTATAATTTTAACTGGAATGAGAGTAAGTAATGTAATAACTTGGAACCTTCAAACAATCTTTAGCTATAAAATATTGAATCACCCCCCCAAAAAAACCCCAAACCCATCTATTTTCTAAAAGTATTTCTTTCTAGGCCAAATCTCTTGATTTTAATTCCTAATGGCAGTAGGTCACTTTCATTATGAGACTATGCACTGCCTACTGTGTTAATGAGGTACTGCTCATTATGACAGATAGTCTACGCGTAGACCTACAAAGGTGTTGTTCAGTCAGTGATGCAGGTTTGAAAATATTTTCTGATGGCATAATAACTACATTCATTCCAGTTTTAAGGACACTTTATTGTGGCATATTTCACTGTTGGTCTTTGTTTACTTAATTTTATTTTTTAGTGGTTAAGTCTTTCTACTTCCCAATCACTGATGTGGCAGATGTGGCCTTGGTATGGTTACTTTCATTCAACTTCCATTCAACGAACATTTTTGTGAGCACTGCGCTTGGTTCTAGAGACATAAAAATAAAATAACAGTGTTCTGTTTGCAGGAATTTTCTATCCTAGTGTTCAAGATAAAAATGTAAATACATCCCTCTGCTGTGTTCTCATCTGCAATGATTGGACTAAGCACATAGCTGTCAGAGGTAGTACTAAAGCAGAAGTAGGGCACAGGGATCAGAGGATGTTTCCTAGAGAAGCCAATTCCTCTGGTCGTCCTGAAGCACATGTAGGTGTAAGCTTAGCTTAGCAGGTAGGGTGCGGCCATCACACCCTCCCTGAAGGTTTGCTCACCTGTGTACGGAGTCTTTGCAACTGCTGTAAATCACTCCTCTGCTTTGCTCACTAGCAGTGAGAGGGGTGATGAAGGGATTCTTTGAGGAGACTTAGATTTTCTCTCACTGCTGGTACTCTGCAGATCTCAGTTGTCCTATTCTGAGGCTTCTAGTTTCCTCATTTGAAGAACAGAGGATTGGGTTTTAGAACCTACCTAAGGATCTGCAATTAGCTGGTCCTTACTAATTCTTTTTTTTTTCATTTAGATTTTTGGTCTGTGTTCTGAGTACACTATTCCTAGTAGAAGAACTGGAGCTCAAATAATCTCACATATCTCAGCCCAGGTAGCTGGTGGTGCAATAATGCTGGTCTCTCCAGTCCTGAAATTTCCCTGTAGAACATGTAATGTTCCAAGTACACTGGGTTTTCCTTCAAAATAATTTTAAATATAAATTTTTTTTAAAAAAAGCAGGTTTCAGAGAAATATATGATTGTGTCTATTTGAAGAAAGTGTAAGTGTTACCTTAGTGAAAATTTATGTGAAATCAAATTTTAGTATGTAGAATCATTGTAAGATGCAATAGAGATGTTTGGTATTTAAATTTCTTTTTAAATCTACAGTGTGTTGTAGAATGAGTTTGCCGTAACTTTTGTGTTTTTAAGGACTTAACTTCCATTGTTACCTGTACCATGACAAAACTGCTGAAGTACTTTGTAAATCTTGTGAAGTGACAAATAAGTAAAAGGTACAATTATCACCAGCATTAATATGGAAAGGGATTACTCTTCAATAAAACTGGTGACGTAAAGAAAAAAATCCTTTAGTTGAACTAGTCCATGTAAATAGAACTAAGGATTCTTGCTTTGTTTATTTAAAAATGAACCATGGTTGATATATGCGGATTATTAGTCAATTATTAATAGTCATTTAATTGTATATTTTTGTATTTCCTTTCTAAATGTATTAGGGATGTGAAAATATGATAATACTGCACCATAGTTTTTAAGTAGATGAAGTATTTTCTGTAACATTCTTTTAAAGGCATTCATGCACATTACAAAAGTAGCTTAATATGAAATGAATACTATGTATCCAAGAATAAAATACCCAATTTGTTAATTAGAAAAAAGAAATACAAAGTTTTAAACACCTCTGAAATTTGCTGTAATTATGGAAAATGGTAAAAAAACAGTGCCTGCCAGGTCACCTCAAACTGTGTCATTCTCAACCATAAATGCAGGACATTCTCAAGGTTTTAGTAACTAAGCTTGCAAATAATGACCACAATGAATAAAGATCTTTTAGAGAGTCTTCACATTTTCTTAAAAATTATTAAAATCAATAATCATTCAAAAATGGAATGACAACATATAATGGCAGAACAAGAGGTTTATAAAAACTCCTATGTATTTTATTTCATTATTCTCACAGAAAACTGCAATGGATGATTCGGTTTGTAAATGTGACCATTTTCATTACATTACATGTGTTTATCATAGTCTTGTTGAAGACCATTTTTAAAACTATCAAAATTATTTGAAAGGCACCTTTTCATTGCACACTCTAGTATGGAATATTAGTTGTAAAAATATTTTTAGGCTTTCTCAGAATTGACACTGAGGCAAATATGTAAAAAAATCACATTTTAGATATACAAAACCAGGCAAAGAATATTAATCACGTTTTAGTCTTTCCAGCCTTTGCTCAAAATTATATAAAATTTTTAATTAACTAAAATTATATTGCTGAAAGCAAACACTGTTATTGCAAAGCTATCTTACTCTAAAATAAATAATGCAGAACAAGTGTAACTATTGTAATACTCTTTGATGAGGGCAGTCACTTTGTTTTGTTGACCTCAATATCTTACCAAATTTTGTAAGAAAAAAAATTTATTAGAGGGAGTCATTAAATTCTTTTGCATTGTGACCAAACTTTTATAAAGAGGACATGTACTTTTTATTGTTTTCAAGTTGGGTTTGTCTTAAAATGGGATGCTCCCATATTTGCAAAGTAAGAGCATGCATTTCACCTGGTGAGAAATGGATATTGTCACTTAATAATGTAAATATACAAAAGGAAGAGCCTTCTAAAAGTTTTCAAAATATTCTTACCTACCTACGCACCTATATTTTAATAATTTAAGGTATGTAACATAGTCTGAAATACAGGGGCCATGCTTACAAACCTTTTTCCTATTTTTTTCTCCTTTTGAGTATTAGTCTTTGAACAAATCAGGACAACAAGAAAGCTGTCGCTTTTAAATGAGGATTCTTGGGCTTGTGGAGTGACTCAAGGGGTAAAGCACCTGCCTGGCTAGTGCAAGACCCTGAGTTTAAGCCCCAGTATTGTCAAAAAAAAAAAAAAAAGACTTATAAAATGAGGATTCTTAGCCAGGTGCTAGCAGCTAATACCTGCAATCCTAGCTACTTGGGAGGATGGCAGTTGTAGGCCAGTCCAGGAAAATAGTTCATTAGAACCTTCTCCAAAAAAATAGAGCAAAATAGACTGGAGGTGTGGCTCAAGTGGCAGAGTGCCTGCTTGGCAAGAGCCTATTTTGAAAGTGTGATGTGCTGAGTTCAAACTCCAGTCCCACCAAAGAAATAAAGAAGTGAAATAAATTAGGATTCTTCAAAACAAAAGATTCTTTACAAAATTTAAAAAAAATTAAACCTATGAACCCCTCAACACTATATGTGAGGTTGTTTAAAATATTACTTAAAAATTCATTCAGGGGCTGTGAAGTGGCTCAAGTGGTAGAGTGCCTGCCTTGCAAGCATGAGAACCTAGTTCAAACCCTAGTACCACAAAAAAAATTCATTCAGTAGAATACAAAAGCAAATTAATAAAGAATTAGTAAATATTAGAGATTAAAACATCTAAATGTGTGATATTTTAAGATACAAAACTTTTAAGCACAACTGAAATTGGTGCTTTAAATCTCAAAGATACTGAATAAAATAACTTCCAAATTATCTCAATCTAAGTAGGTCTCACTTTCAAATAAATGATATTCTAAATAGCTCCAGTAACTACACTGGTGGTTGGTGGTCACAATTAGCCAAACATCCTAGAAACCTGTACATATATTTTTAAATGTTCACTTTGTCAATTGGTATAATTGAAAAACTTGGACTTTGTGAAGATGTATGAAAATATCTTTTACATGTTAAATATTTTCTCCTGCTTACCCTTGTGTTTGATTGTAGCAGAAACTCTGTGAAATGCCCCTGCTACAGACCTTTCACCTGTCTCTGAATTCCATCTTCATTTGGCTTCAGCACCGTCATTGCCTGCACACATGCTAGGTGAGGGCAGACTGAGTGTGACTGGAGAGGAGTTGGAGTAGCACTGTGATCCCCTCTCTGGATTATGACATTTGAGAAAATCCACTCAAACACATTCTTTCATTTGCAAATATCATGCACCTGCCATGTGAACACTGCTAGTTATTAATATAATTAATTATATTAATACACAGCACAGGGAATAGCGCATCCTATACAGCGAAGGTTTGCTCTACTTAGAAACAAAGTTATAGGTCTTGCTTCAGCTCTCAGTTGGTCCACTTATTCATTTATAAGACTTATTAATTTCTCAAATGTGTCTTTTTCAAAGTGTCTACCAGCATGTTTCTAGGAGTACAAATTTGAACAAATACAGAAGTTTAGACTATGTATAGTGATTCTCAAAATTTGGTTTGCCTCTGAATCATCTGGGGATCTTGCTTAAATGCAGATTCCAGGGCTCCCTGCTCCCAATTGTTGGTTCATTAGATCTGGATACAGCCTGTGAATCAGTATTTTTTATCAGGAATGCTTTCCTCCTCTCCTTCATATTCCCTCCCAGGAGACCTGTAGAACATGCGAGAGCCCTGATATAGTAGGTATAGTCAGTGACTTTTTTTTGTTAGAAGTAATATTATCTACAAGCAAGAGGAATAAAATAGAAAGTGTAATGCCTACAATAAGGTCATGGAATGGAGGGTTCTGAGTGAACCAAACTCATTCAGAGTCTCCTGGAAACAGGTCTTGCTAACAAAGTTAGCCTAATGCAGTTTCTGTTACCTTATATCTTCCTTCCTGATGTATTTTACAGAAGGACTCAAAATAAGCACTGCAGGGTAGAAGGATACATTTTATAAAATAATTCTAGCATAGACCTGAGAAAAGGATTGCCTTTTGCTTCTATTTTATCCTATTATCATATGCAAACTTAATTTTTTTAGGATTCTTGGCATTTGTTAAATTTCACCCCTAGCCCTCTTCACTGCTTTCCAGATTTGCTTGTTTGTACCTGGAATTGTGTTCATGCTTCGTCCTCATTGTTCTTCATTTTAGTTTCTTTTCAACAAAATAGCAGAACATTTGCAAATGGTGAACATGATTTTTATGTAAGGATTGCTTCTTAAATAAATACAATACTGCAGGCTACCAAAGTATCTGTATAAAATTTATATGATTTATTTTTATGGTGTTTAATAAGAAATTTTGTGCTTTTGTTCACTGCAAAAAATGCAGTGGTAAAAGTAGATCATCGTAGCAGAATAAAGTCAATACTTTACAAATAAAATCTAAACCTGTGAGAAAATTATTGTTAATAGCCCTTCATCACCTTTGTATGAGGGGTGAAATTTCTGGTATTTGACAGATTGCTTTTTCCAATGTATTTGTGGGTAGGTTTGCCTAATGTATCTTTATCACTTTGAATGTTACGGATCATTTGATATGCATCAATGATACACATTGATGTGGTTTCTCGAGTTTATGCTGTAGCTTTTCACTAAGTATTTTACAAAAGGGCTGAGCCACATGTGATGTGGTGTATGAGACATACACCCAAAGCACTGCACCAAAATTCTCAGACCCGGGTCCAACCCTCATGCTGCCTCTTGTAAGTCTTGTGAGGGTTGTTTTGTTTTTTGCTGAAACCTGAACTACAAGTAATTAATTATAAAATACTAGTGACGGTAACTTCCTACTCCATAGAAATATTGTCCCCACAAAATTAGATAATCTCTGAAAGTGCTATTATTTTTTTCCTTTTATGTCAAGGATAATAGGACTATTGAAAAAGACATTAGAATTTATGTACAGACCTTTTCTCCCAAATAAATCTGTATTCTCTAATCCACATATATGGAGTTACAGGCAAAAGGAAACAAACAAAAAACTTTAACATTGGAAATTGCTTGCTAACAGTAAAAAGTGGTGCCTCTCACAACACAAGAGGTAGAGAGGTAAATCTTCAGATGTATTTGCAAGCCAAAGTAGTGATATGTCAGTGCGAAACACATCTTTCTTTTGACAGGGATATTTAAGCAAGGGTAGAAATGTATGTGATTTTGTTTAGGAGCAAATTACTCGACCATCTCAAAATTTTTTCCTATAAATGTATAATTTCTGGGAAAAGAAAAATGTTTTGTGCATATACACATATCTATTCTCACAAAAGTAGAGCTTGGGAAAGGAATAGGAGGGAGAGATAAAAAGGAGATACAGAAAAAAATAGAAATTTACATATGTTTAGATGCTTCTATGTAAATACAGGCATAAATGTGTTGAAAAAGCTACATGCCTTAAAAGTGCTATCAAATTATATTGATGAATATGAAACTGTTTAAAGCAGCACAGTTTTGATGGTTCCACATTAATTCATTGTATAAGCAAGTCTAAATCATTATTAAATATTATTTAGGGTTTTGTTGCTTTGGAAATAAACTTGGCCTTTTCAGATAATTAATGAAATGGTGATGTCATACTTCAATGATTTGTTTAGTCATAATAATTATTTCCATATAATTTGACTGAATTTGAATTTTCTGCCCTATATAAGAGCCATTTAAAATGGTACAAAACATAACTTTATTGTGTTTTTCTTAGTTGAAAATTTGCAAAAGAAGTGCGATTAATTCAGCAATTATTTATATTTTTAACATCAAACTAAGTAGATATTAAACAGATCACAATTCTCCTTACTGAGTTATTCAACATTGCTTTTATAAATGCAGGTTTCTGTTTAGATATCTGGTGGTACTGA